AACAGCCTCCCAACCCACGAAGTACACGACATTGAGAACTAAGGCTCAGCAAATTTTGCTCAAGGCGCTGGAGGCGCATCGAAGAGCGGGAGGTGAGATTCTGGCACGCCACAAAGTTATCTTCGTTTTCGTAGTCCCAGCAGCTCCCTTCACTCTTTTGTCTCAGGAGCCACTTAAGGCTGGGGTTGAAGCGGATCCGAAACAGAGCCTCTGCCTTTTGAAGGGACTTGGTGAATGGACTGTGGCTTCGAGACCCTGGAGACACATAAGGTTTACTTTATGAAGAGACATTTCAGAATTATTTGTTTATGTGTCTATGTATATAAACATCATATACAAAAACAACAGAGGACAGTAAGAAAAAGCAGCAGCAATTTTCTATATTTCGTCTATGCCAGCTAACCACTATCTTTTTCTCACTATGCGGACATTTCAAATATTATGCCACTTCAACTCTAATACAGGGTGATTCAAAAAGATTCATCTGATTTCAAAATGATTTATTTCACTTGTAAATCATTACAGATCAATGCAGTAAACTGTAAATGGTTTAAATGAGCATAAAGTTTATTGTGTAATTTTACAAGGTCTCAGTATGAACCTCCTCCAGCTGTACAGACAACATCAACACCATAGTCAAATTCATTCCATACTCGATTGAGCATGTCGGGTGTCGCTGCACTCACGACTCTTTCAGTGCGGTTTCGGAGATCCAGTGTTGTGGAACCAACGACGAACACTCTGAGCTGTTGGAGGTTCACTGCCATACCGACAGTCAGAAACTCTATGACCCCCCCTTTTTCAATTGGATTGTGATTGGTTCCTAGGAGCCTCACGGTTGTAAAAAATACCTTTTTGAATCACCTTGTGTAATATAAACAAACTGTCAACCTATATACTGTAAAGCTCTGCAAATGCATGGCAATATTTAGTGTAAATTGCAGTAATTCACAGTTTAAGTACTGCCTTCTTTCTGTGATTCAAATATGGACTACTGGAAATGCAGTCCGAGAGAAGCTCACCCAAAACCTACCATCGTATTTGTCCCTTGAGAAGCACTCCTCAGGAAGTACTTCTGGACAGACACCTGGCTTTCTCTGTGGTTAAAGTAAAAAAATAAACAAATGACTGGAAAAAACTGCTGCAAATCAAATGTCTATCATGCCTAAATGTCTATCATACTTCAAGCTTTGGCATAATGCTTCATAGCTTAGCTCTAGTATTCAGTTCCAAATTCTCAAAACCTTTATACTGTGACATAAACCTTTAAACTGCAACATGTTTAAATAAAATAATTTTAATTTTTTTTAAAGCTCCGCTGAGGTTTCTATTGAAAACGTAAGAAACTCCTGAATAAAAACTACACATTGTTCAGCATTCACTCATTCATGATGCAGAGGAACCAAGTTCAATCCCTGGTGAAGCCTTAATTTAGTAGTTCATGGACCTACTGGCTGCTAAACAGATGAAATTATGAATGAGAAAATTACCTGTTCATCGTCGGTGGCTGGGGGCTCAGAGTTGTCAGTCACAGCAGACTGCTCTGCTCTGTCTACAACAGAAAACAGGCTCAGAGTCAGATCTAAAATAATAAATATGAGGAAAAAACCTGAAAGATGTTAAAATTAGAGGTGTGTAATGTGGTAAACATAATCATGAATGATATGTCATATTTACAAATATGCTTAATACCAGCACCCAGTGGTGGGATGCACAGAATACGTATTAGGAACACATATTCAGAACAAAGAAATTAAGTAAAAATAAAAATCTCTCTATTCAGTCCAACGTTACATTTTGTAAAGGCAGTATTTAGAATACAGTTACTTTTTACATTTTTAGGAGAATACTTTCAGAATATTTTACACATTAAATAAAAAACAGAGGATTTGTCAGAACTTCATTTAAATGATAAGCAAAATTTTCATGAAATGTATGAAGAAGAAGATATACATATAGAACACTGCCAACCAGTAAAAGCGAGGAAGTGTGAATTAACATAATAAAACAATAACAATATAATAATTATAACAATAATAATAATAATAATAATAATAATAATACATTTATTTATAAGGCACTTTTCTGCAGCTCAAAGTGCTTTACAGACAGGTGATAAAGGTAAACAGTAATGCAAGAAATTATAAATATTAATTTAGAATTGTATGAGAAAATGAAACAGATCACATTAGAAGATAAAAACCACGAGATGCAGAGTTTTAATTAAATGCTAAATTAAAGAGATACATTTTTAGATGCTTCTTAAAAGTGAGCACTGAGCTTGAGTGTCTAATAAAAGGTGAACTGAGCTCCACAGTTTAGAAGCAGAATAACTGAAAGAGTCTCTCCATGTTTTCTGTATTTTACAGAAGGTGTTTGTAGAAGGTCAGTATCTGCAGATCTAATATTACTTGCTGGAACATAAACAGACAGACACTCTGTGATGTAAGCGGAGCTTTAAGGTCATTTAAAGTCTTAAAAACTAGTAGCAGAACTTCAAAATCTATCCTGAACGATACAGACAGTGCAGCTCTTTTAAAACAGGACTGATCTCTCTGTGTTGTTTTTGTTATGATGCTGCCGCATTTTATACGAGTTGTAAAGGATGTACTGTTTTCTTAAGAAGTTCAGTAAGAAGATCATTACAATGATCAACTCTGCTGTAACAAATGCATGAAAATGTTTCTCTGCTTTGCTCTGAGAGAGAAAATACTGAGCTTTCTCAAATGATAAACAGCTACTTTAGTGACTTTGTTTACATGCAGATAAAAAAAAAGAGTCTAAGATCACACCCAGGTTTTAGACCTCAGGTTTGGTATATGAAGCTAAAGAACCAAGTTTCTCACAAAGCATTTTTCTCTGAGTTTCTGTACTAACAATCAGTATTTTATTTTTTTTTTTCATGATATAACTGTAGAAAAAAAGATCTATTGTAAAGGTATTCTGAATATAACTTTTCACTGTATTACTTTTAATGTATAGTAATGGAACGAAAGTACTTTCTGAAAGAATTTTGCCCAACTCTGCTTAATAGTTGATATGCATCTAGTTGGTCAATGTGGCCTAAAAATGTAATCATAGATGCAAAGTGGAAAATCTGTTTGATACAACTTGACAGTTTATGAGCCAATGAACCAGCAAGATTTTGTAAAATTCTGATAAAGCCACATGAATCTCTATCACTTAATACAGTACCTGCAGGATGAGGATCTGTTTGGCCATTCTTGTTTGGCTCGGCCCCACTTTGCCCCTCCTGTGGGCTACCAGGCGTCTGAGCCATCCTAACCTCAACCCACTAACACAGCTCCTTCATTTCTCCTATAATTGTGAATAGAAAGAACAGAAACCACACTTCCATTAATTAAGCCCTGACCTACAGGCATCTTTATGGAGACATTTTCAGTAGCTACTTTTATAAAAACAGTATAAGATTTTGCTTTTCAAAGCATTTTCTACACTATAACTACACTATCTAGCCAGCTACTTGTTCGAATTTCTCCGTTCCACCTTAAATGCAGCAGCAGTCGCTGCACTATTTAAGGTGGACCGGGAAAATTCGGACAAGAAGCTGGCGAATGGGAAGCCAACTTCAGTCTCGTCATATTCTCTTAATTTCAGTTTTATATATTCAGTATATCCAAGATATTTGTGAGCAAATCAGACATTGTTTACTGATTTAGCTACTAGTGTTGGCTAACTGACCAGCTCAAATCTCCAATAAGGCTAGCTAGCTAAATGTTAAGTCACCTACGTTAAACACCACCAGAAGCACCCATGAATAAACTTCACCGTCAGTCCTTCTTGCTGAAATTAAACGACATAGTCAGCTAGTTATCTTGCCAGCTCCCCAAATCAGACCATGTTGTCAGATTTGTCCAGGTACGTTAGCTACCTAAAGCTAGCTAAGTTAGCTCGAAGCTCTATTAGATCTATTGCGATAACCTGTTTTAGCTAATCACAACAATCCGTAACGTTACATCTGTTCACGCAGGTCGACCTACAGTTAACGTAGTAACCCTTGCTTACGGTTTAAGCTGAATACCTGTTTTTCAGGAGACCTGTGTTCAGCGCTGAACAGCACAGGCTCACTAATCCATCCCCCATACAGAGCAACAACACTCGGGCACTAAAATTAGCCTGTTGTCCGAGCCTGAGACTTAGGAAACCAATGAGAGGCGCCAGTGGAGCTCAGGAGGAGCTTCAAGACGGGATTGGAGCGTTTAATAATCACACTGGCCGGTTTTATGTGGGCTACAAGGTTTATTATTTGGAGTAATAACAGTAGTAAATGCATTGGGTTGGGGAAAATACTTCAAAAAAGCAGTGATGGCTGAATTTTGAATACACTGTCCAAAATGCATTCAGTAATATATTCTGCTACAACATATACAAAGTAAGGTATTCAAAATACACACTGATAAAACAAACTCTACTGTAATTTCACTTCATTGACACGGTTCCTTGCTGTTGCTGGTTGGCAGTTTCATGTAATTCTAAAATTGCTTTATTTTAGTTCTAAAATTCCCGTTTCAGTCCACCATTGCCAATTTCTGAGCAAGAGCACTGAGATTAATAACTGACCATCACATTGATTTATTGGTCTACTCAGGCTTTGGCAGAGCTCAGTAACACTGAGATTAATAACTGATCATCACATTGATTTATCGGTCTACTCAGGCTTTAGCAGAGCTCAGTAGCACTGAGATTAATAACTGATCATCACATTGATTTAAATTATGTCAAAAACTGAAAAACAAAAATGATGAATGAGATGAAGAATGAGAGGTTTTGTTCTGACAGCAGTGATATACACATACACATATACAAGCGTAAATGACATTTGTCTGCAAATAATTGTGCATTAAAGTGTGCAGAAGTGCTCTCTACACGGTATGTTTACTTTCACTGGTTTTTCAATTGAAACAATTTGAACATGGGTGCCTAAATTTTTGCACCTATCTACTTGTATAATGGTATAATAATTAAGAGAAAGAAAAATGTAGTCTTTCCAGTTTTATTTATTTCAAAATCATCCTAATAAAACACCTGAGTAAACATTTAACAAAAGAAAGCCTGTACACAAGATAAAAACAGAAGCTATGCATTTAAAATGATTACACAACACTTACAATTCAAATTTGGAATGAACTCTGATGTGGAAGAACTTAATATGCAAAAACAACAGAACTGTGTATTTTTCTTCTTTTAACTGGTATAAAAAAATAAATGACTTAAGTTTCATTTACAGAAAAAAGGCAAACGACAAGTAAAGGAAGTTTTGAAAAAAAAAACAAAACAAAAACAGATGTAGAAAAGAATCAATTACAACAAAATCAAACAGTGCATTACAACAGACAGTTCCCCCCACATCATCAGAGCTCCAGTGAAAGAGGTCAAGCAATCTCCAACTCATCCATCTTCATCATCTTGCTAGGGGTTCCTGAACATGAGTCCTACAACCATATAAACAACAAAAATTACATCAGACACAAACAAAACATTTACTATAAACAGCAGTACCAGATAATTGTGAAAGTACCAGCTATAACACTGTACTTATTGTACAACCAAACAAAACTCAGTACAAAAGTACATTTAAAATGTGTCACTTTTCAAAAAGCAAACCTCTTTAAAAAAAGAACTGCATATTACAGCGATCAGGCATAACATTATGAGCACCTCCCTGTTTCTACGCTCATTGTCCATTTTATCAGCTCCACTTACTATATAGGTGCACTTTGTAGTTCTACAGTTACAGACTGTAGTCCATCTGTTTCTCTGATACTTTGTTGACCCCCTTTTACCCTGTTCTTCAGTGGTCAGGACCCCCATGGACCCTCACAGAGCAGGTACTATTTGGGTGGAGGATCATTCTCAGCGCTGCAGTAACACTGACGTGGTGGTGGTGCGTTAGTGTGTGTTGTGCTGGTACGAGTGGATCAGACACAGCAGTGCTGCTGGAGTTTTTAAACACTGTGTCCACTCACTGTCCACTCTATTAGACATTCCTACCTTGTCAGTCCACCTTGTAGATGTAAAGTCAGAGACGATAGCTCATCTGCTGCTGCACAGTTTGTGTTGGTCATCCTCTAGTCCTTCATCAGTGGTCACAGGACGCTGCCCACAGGACGCTGTTGGCTGGATATTTTTGGTTGGTGGACTATTCTCAGTCCAGCAGCGACACTGAGGTGTTTAAAAACTCCAGCAGCACTGCAGTGTCTGATCCACTCATGACACTCTGACACCACCATGTCAGTGTTACTGCAGTGCTGAGAATGATCCACCACCCAAATAGTACCTGCTCTGTGAGGGTCAATGGGGGTCCTGACCACTGAAGAACAGGGTAAAAGGGGGCTAACAAAGTATCAGAGAAACAGATGGACTACAGTCTGTAACTGTAGAACTACAAAGTGCACCTATATAGTAAGTGGAGCTGATAAAATGGACAGTGAGCGTAGAAACATGGAGGTGCTCATAATGTTATGCCTGATTGGGTCAAATTTCCTAGCATGCAAGGAAGTTACCTGAGGCAAAGATGATGAAGCACTACTGGATTTTGGATACTGTAGTTCAGTTTCAGGATCTACGGAGCACTCCATGTCAAAATCAAAATCAAAATCCTCTCTGAAGAAGGGAAACAGAAAAGAACTTCAGATTAACAGTGTAGCGATTTTTTTAAAACAATCTTGGCTCTTTCATAAAAGGTTTTAAAAGCCTAAATATCTGTGTCAAAAGTCTAGACAATTCTTGAAAAGAAAACGCACAATGTAGTTCACCAGTTAACTAGCTAGTTACAATAGCTTTAGTTAAAAGTTAGCTTTGCAAGGTCTATGCTGCCATGTGCTCATACAGGTTAATATTTTTAACTGCAACCTACGATGGAAGCGTATCGTTGACGCCTCAAGAACAGTCCATTTTAGCATCATGCATTTCTGACAAGTGCATTCAAGATGGGCTTTAATTACACACTGTATAAGAAAATCATTAAATTACTCAGGTATGTCTATACAAATACTGTTTTTCAACCTAAAAGCATTTGATGCCCAACGCTGCTGATAACAATTATGCATATGTTCCATATCCAATTTGAATGTAAACCACAATAGTACCCCCACACACAACCCCCACAGTAAAACATACACAGCTTGCAGGTCACTGCCTTCTTCAGCAGGTGGGTCCCATGCGTGAAGTTTGACTTTCCACAGTTTTATCTGCTGGTCCCAAGAGCGGCGGCTATACTTCTTAAATTTGTTGGGTGTTCTAGGATGGATTCCTGGCTGTCTCAGGTGCCTAGAATTATTAAAACAGATATTTTTAGTTTTCTCCCCATCACTTAAAGTCGGCATTGTAATTAGCTTCTTATAAAATATACAGAAACTGTATCTGTATATCATTGCTGTCATAACATAACCTCATATTGCTGGAATGGCACAGTTTAGAGAGGAGAGAGGGAAAAAAAAAATCCTCTTAACTTTATTAATTTTTAGACCACTTCTATTGGTGGTACATATCATAAAATGCTCACACAATATAATGAGCAAAAAAAACAAAACACTATAACTGTACAAGGTTTTGATATGACTGCAAAGATACACTAAAACTTAATTACAACACCACAGTGCAAATAACCATGCCAATCGCAATGTATTCCACTCACTTGGGCACTTCTTTAATGTATCTGTCATACGCAAGAGTGTTCTTGCCATAGTTGATCTGCTTTTGTCTCCTCATTAAGACAGTCTCGTCTGTCTCAATGTCACCAGGTGCTGGAGAGTCCCTGGAATCTCTGGAGTCTGAACTGCAGTCAGATGATAAAACAAAATTACTACCATATCACCAGGTTAACACTGTACAAACGAGTCAGAATCAGCAGCTGTAAGAACAAACCTTCCAGACGAGGTTTTCCTCTCTCTTTGAACAAACTCTCCAGCCAGTATCCTTCGCCTGTAACTGAAACATTAAGAAATTTTCCATTAGCAGCTCAAAGATATGTTGCACAGTTCTGATTAGCTATAAATTGACTAAACCTTATAATTCATAATTGGAACAAACCAAACAACCTTATTTTGAAGTCTTGCAGACATTTGTTAAAAAGTAAATATCAAAAGAGGCAACTGACCGCTGCATGTCACGTCGAACACTGGTGCGCATTTCATCGGCCTCCACCTCATCCCCCCAGTTTCTTATTCTTGACACTGGTCCTTCACTCTCTGGGGTTGTAAAACTAGACACAGGAAATAAAAACGCACACCATTACATTATTTAACCTGCTGCTGCTTTTTGTTTCATGCATCTCTTGGCACAGAGGTGGGACTTGGCACTTTTAAGAACCCAGAGTAATGTGGACAGTCAGAATCCTGCCTGAAATAGCCGTTCCAGAAGATTCCTGATTAGAAGAACAGACCCTTTTCATACGCCCCTATTTGACACAGCAGAAACTGTTGTATTAAGGAAAAGATTACAGCAGCGGAAGTGAATGCAAACAAAGTCCTCCTTCACAATGTCTCTAATGTAGAGGGCTAATTTTTATCTTTTTTTTTTATAAAGGTATTTACCAAATTTTTCTGCAAAAGGAGTCATTAAATTGGCAGAGAAGCTTTCATTTTCAGAGGACAGCAAGCTTGAAAGGGCTACAAGCTTTTCTTTCAGAATCACTTGCATTACTATGAAGGTAAGGTAAGGTAAGGTAAGGATCTCATGACATGCTATCCAAAGAAGTCAGCTTAAGGTCCAGTGTTCACTGAATACCCCCTCACACACACACTCCTCTTTTGATGCTCTACTTGCACTATCTGGAACACTTCTGCTAACACTGTGTTTACTCAAGTACTGTGTATATCCTACCTCTGTAACTGCTTTGCTCACGTATGTTATCTGACTGCGTAAACTCACAGATCACAGCATGTTAAATAATCTTTGCACCTTATTCCACTACCTCATGTCCAGAAATAAGTGCTGTGTCGGCGCTGCACTGTCCTGTCTGTTTACTGTGTCTAATGTCTGTTTTAATTATCATATTTATTGTCCTGTTTCTAGTTTAAAATTTTTGCACACTTATGTCGGCACGTTTGCACTTTGTACTGTCTATTTCGTTCCATGCTGCATCATGTTGTTCCTGGCGGAACATAATTTCACTCCACTGTGTACTTACAGATAGATGGAATGACAATAAAAAGCCTCTTGACTAGATTACAGTCAAAATGGTGCAGGTTGGAAGTAAAGCCAACATCATTATCTTTTGGCCATATTACATCACTTATCTTTAGATTTTTACATTTTTCTCTGTCTAACGTTAAAGTTGTTTTTGTACTGCGCCGAACGTCCACGTCAGTGTTCGTAGGTAGGCTACGTGACATGACAATATTTAATTTCTTCAGTGTTTGAGCAGTAATATCTCTAACATTAATGTTTACTGTGGCAAAGCGTCAAAACATACCAATCAACACAGCCACCACACAGAACACTGTGGCCGGACCACACAGTTCACTGGCTCATCTACCTAACATTAGCTAAGGTATTTCTCTTATACTTTTTCATGGAAACATAAGGCAAATACCTTCATAAGGCTGTAAAAATGTGCAAACCCTCTGCATTCTCACTCGTAAACACCACTGTTGCTGTAATATTTTCCCTCCGCTGCATCACATATGGAGGTGTGAAAAGGGTCCATTTCAGCTGACTCTCTTGACACAATAGCTTCATGTCTAACAGATTCACAAACATATAAACACAGAAAAGATAGATACTTCACCTCTCCGGCCTCTGTGACCTGGGCTCTCTTTTGTCAGTGCTATGCGTTGATTCAGCTTCTCTTTGAGGGCCCCTCACACTTCCATCAGCACCACGCTTCCTGCAGTGGGACCATCTTAAAGACCCTTTGTTCCTGACAGAATTACACAGAAAAGGTGTTAAAAAGCACAGTGGAACCGGGCAACAACACGAGATTAAGGTATTAGTGGGAATTAACTTATCATCATAGCGTAAGGTTATCTATGTTTCCAAATACGTTTATGATCACAAAATAGCGCCAAGACTGTCTTTCACTTCGCTAACATGTCGTTATGCCCTCGTTTGCAACTAGGCTTAAACCAAGAAAGCTCTAACAATCATTAAAATAAGAGTAATCTATTTCAGGTTAGGTGAAATCAGCTTGCTGCCCACTAACAGACAACGTTAGCATTTTACAGTTTGGGCGCCAAAGCGAAAAAACTTCAAGTTACTCCGCTCACATTACGAGTTTTTACTTACGGGTTACATTAAATATTATTTAGTTAATATTAATTTGCAATATAGGCGATCTGAATAAGGATATGTAAACACTATAAAAGACAACAACAAGACCTTTAAATGGACAAGGATGAATTATTCCTCAGCTCTTTTGTTTGAAGTTTCCCGATCCACCTTAAATAGTTAATGTTAAACGGTGCAACTGCTGCACCATTTAAGGTGGAACAGAAAAATTCGAACAGGAAAAAGCAAATACGTAATTCTTACTGCAGTTTCGTTTTAGTTGGGTGGTAATTTAGATGGCTAATTATTCTCGCAGTACGATTTAATATCTATACATTTATATAAATTTGTAGTTATAAATTCATCGAAAGGGAAGCTAACCGACACAACAAACAAGCTACTACATTTTATTTATATTTTTGTAGTATTTAACAGTGATACGCGGCAAGAAGCTCAGTGGACAGCCAGAACAATGAACACAAGCAGATGAGCCAACTTTAAACACCTGACAAAGGCTGGGTCTGAATTAAAACAGCTACGGTTCGTAGAATTTAAAACACGATATTTAACCCAGCTAACCGGGCCTTGAAGCAAAAATAGGAAATAAATACATTCAACTGAAAGGGAATCTGCAGATTAAGCTAACCAGCTGCCAAAACAGCGAAGAGTTACACGGCTAGGCGGATAATAAACCCGCGGTTTTGTGAAACTCGCGGGAGAAGCGTTAGCCGTGTTAGCTAGCACACAGAACGGCGCGCAACCAGAGGAAAACCCGCTGTGTTTATCGATATATTGGCCCAAATCGATCCCTCCGAGAAGCACAAGCACTTACCTGTTTTCGTCAACCTTACAGTCGTCGTCACGTCGGTGTTTGTGAGTATATGACATTATATGAGAGGTTTTAGTCACGGAGCTCCGGCGGAGAGACGAACAGCTGCTGCTCTCAGTTTTGATAAACCGCGCCACTGAGCCGCAGCGCAGCAAGACCAGCGGAGACAGCAGTGAACAAACCTGTCAAAATAAAAGTCCTATTCGAAACGTCATGTGACCTACTTTACTCTCAGAGACCAAAGGCTTTAAACAGATATATTATGAACAAAAACGTTTTTAAGATTCTAAAAGTTTTAAACATTTTGTTTGCTGTTATCCTCGCCGCGCCATCAATAAGAGTCCTTAGCAAAATGCTGGGGAATGACTAAAATTAGCAGGTAAATATTTCTTGAACACGCTACACTTTTTTACGACGGCGGTTTAGGGCCACTGTTAATAAAAATAAAAATAGTAGACTTCGTAGAAGTCGTAATATTTCGAGATTAAAGTCGTAAGGTATGATATTTCGAGAAAAAAGTCGTAGAATTACGACATTAAAGTGGCATTAATACTAGGAAAGGTCAATATTGTGGCCAAAGGCAAACTGAATGCAGCACCGCCTTGTGTTAAATGAGGGGCGGTGAGTTGGTGGAGTTTTACTTTCATATCGATTCACCCATAAAGAAACAGTCAGTCTCCCTGTCTCTCCTGCTCATCAGCACCAGCCTGTTATTAGTATAAGAACCGGCTGAAACAGCGGAGCAGGAAACTGTGTTTATCTGGAATAAAGAGCCAGACGGACTCGGAGGAAACTGTCTGTCTGTGTTGTTGAAGGAGAATCTCAGGCAGGGTCGTCTACACGGCTATCGGGGCTCCATCTCCCCCCATTCAAAGAGGGCATGAAGTTTCACAGACAGTGAGAATGATGATCAAAATGATCCACAGAGAGACAGGAGTGAGTGGAGCTCCAGCGCCAGTACAGCAACCGAGACCCCAACGCGTTATGGCAGCCCCCCTACAGTTAGCCCCGCAACAGTACAGCAGCCCACTTTATCCTCCAAATATTACGACTGTTTTTCTCGAAATAATACGACTTTTTTCTCGAAGTCCACTACTTTTATTTTTATTAACAGTGGTTCTAAAACGCCGTCGTACTTTTTATACGCTGCGGCCACCAAACGCACAATAAACATGCCACTGCTGTAAGTTAACAACACAGCAACAAACTTATATTGGCTTTAAATCGAATTTTAAATGTATGGGAGCACTTCAGACAGCTTTTACAGCTCTGCTTCTGAACACAGCTCTATAGTTTGAGTAACAGTAATGTGCAGATAGCCGCTGGATTAACTGTTCGGCGAAACGAAGCTACTGCATGCTGATGCCAACAGTGGCAGTTTTTGTTTTCCTATTGTTATTTAATGTAATCGAGCATGTACAGATGTAAATGTAGAACTCCAGTTATATACGGTAGAGTCAGGTTCTCTGTCAGTTGTACTAATAAACAAATAAGAAAAAAAAAATTAAAAGTACTCAAACTTGTATTTATCATATCTTTAAGGCTTTTTTGTTCTGTGGCTTTTATAACAAGAATCATGGTTTTTTTCAGATCACTACAGAAGAGTCTAAAATTAGGGACAGTGTTAACTGCTGTATTGCCCAATAAGTTTCAAAATTCCTTTTATTAAATTTTATGTCACATTTTAGAAGCAAGACTTGTATGTAATTTATAGGAATTAATTTGTGCAAGAACATAAAAATGAGCAAGGATATTTATTTCCTTCCAAAATTCCTTTAAGAAGATAGTCACAAAAAGCCAAGTGATAGTTTCTTATGATTTAATAGTTTAAAACTTATTAAACAGGGCATTCCAAACAAGAAATATGGAGTGTTTTAATTTCAACTTCTTTACTTTTCTTATGGAGCAGAAAATCTCTTATATCCAACCACATCATCTCTGTGGAATGAAAGGGAATTTTTTTCCATTTATAAACTGTTTTACAGCATGCATTCATTATTAAAGTACTAATATAAGTGACCTTTTCAATGACTGCTATTACTTTGGGCAATAGATAGCAGATGCTAAAGCAATGCATGTAAACACATTAAGAAAACATGGAAGGCCACTATAATATGGAATATGTAGGGTTGCATGTGTAAACACAATGTTTCAATTGCACTGTGTGTATGTATATACATATACACACATATATACATACACACACACACTTTTTATATAAATATATATATATAAATAACACACACACACACACACACACTATCCTACACACCAAAAAAAATGTACCTCCTATCTTAAGAATTGGCATGAAAGTATAAGTAATGATCAGTAGCTCAATAATACATTTGACACTGATTTAGTAATTAGCAGCATAATTAAGGCCATTTAATATTAATATACACATGCACACCACCGTTTTGAAACACTTCAAAACACACAGTGCACATTCAACTATCATGTAGTACTCAATTTGGTACCCAGTATAATGAACATCTGCAGGAACCAATTTACATGCAAAATGTAGTTTAAAGAAGTCACTTGAAGAAAAACAGCTGAAAGAATTAAACTTTAATATCTTGTTTCCAGTGTAGTTATCATGCATCTCACTGGGGGCATGACAGTTTCAGAAGCTGCGCTCTCCTTTAAACCCTGTAAATGCATTAACATGCAAACCAAGGCTCAAAAAGTAATTCAGCGCTTAAGTCATAAAAGTAAAATTAGTTTAGACAAAGTGTATCTAGACAGAAATGGTTCAATTTTAGGACTGTTCCATGGCCTTCCACAACTGCGTTATAGAATTACATTTAAAAATCAAAGATAAACTAAAAGTTGGACATCCATTAAATCTTCAGCTTGGACAAAGTATGGTTCTCAAACCTCCTGCAAAATAGGGAAAGCGAAAAAAGTTAATTTCTTCATACTGGCAAAAATCAGACAAAATACAGTTAACAAGAATGTAGCAGGTCTTCTAGTCAGATTTTTGTAGATTGTGTCAACTAAAACCTGTGCCAGCCCTGCATATGCTCTCCCAAGGTAAAAAGGCATCACAACAAAACAGTTTGCCATGATGGTATCAACTTGGGGATGATAACCAAAACAAACAGTTACCCAATTATCATTTTTCAGCTCCAGGCAGCTTGTCCAGCTTCAACAGCATCCTTCCTGGGGAGAAAATCAAGGCAGGAGTTAGAGAAATCCAGATATTTAGCATGTTTGAGGAAAGTATGAAATATGCTCAGTAGTAACGTTTCTTCACTTCACAGTAAGAATGTTGTGTTGATTTAGGTTCATCACAGCAATCATTTAAAACAACTGGGGGTCTCGATTCAGTCAAGTGCTCTTACCATAGTAAACGGAAAAAAGCCAGGAACGCATTTGGCCTCCTGTAACAAAAAAGGTATCTAGTTAAGAAGGTCATACTCAAAAGCAGTCAAGTGTGAGTTGGAGGGTCTGTACTCGGGGGATGAAGGTTAATCATACTTGTCAGAATGATTATATCAGTCAGTAGCGCACAGTCAGATTAGATAGGACTGAAAGTCAGTAACTGCACATACCATTCAACTCAGCGGATCATGGCTGTAGTTCTTGAAGGAGCCAGCATCACCTAGAACAGAGAACACTAGCTTAAGACCAACCTCCAACTCCTTAGGAAACATCTTGGATCATTTTAAGTATGTTTACCCACAGACTAGGGCCGCCCCCACTGGTGAGGGAACAGCCCACTCTCAGAGGGGCAAGGCTCTGCCACAGCTAAGCATCGAGAAATTACTAAAACAGTAACTCCTGAACTAAGCACAATCGGCAGTGCCTTTCTTTTCCAGCAGAGTAACACTAGCTCAGGCACGGTACAGGCCTGCACAGCTGACTGCCGCTGGAGCTGTTCACATTCAGATCGGTGAAAAGTCGCTTACCAGCGCTATGGATGCCAAGTGAAGAGATCCACATCAAGAACTCAGCTTGGGTAGAATGCAACAGCACCATCTGTAAAAGCAAGGAGAAATTCATATTTCAGAGTCTCAGATAAGAGAATAGACAAGCATAAATTTCATAATGCAGATCAGTGTGGCTGCAAAATCTTAAAAGCTATAAGGTAACAAGGATTTATAGGGGAATAATCAGATGATGCAATAAAAAAATCTGATGTTTAGATTTGAAACATACACATTTGTTGTGAGTCAAGTAAGCAGAACAGGCACTGCTGGGCTACTATGTAAATATATACCATATTAATTTCAGTGCATTTGTATCCCTACATAACTAAGGGTTATATTTCCTTTGTAACGTTGATCCTGGTTGACAATTTCTACATTTTTAGACTTTGAAATACATTTTTATATATGAAAAATCAGATATGAGCATCTAATGTTAGACATAGGTATCTACTTTAATACTGCAGCATCCATCACCTTCACAATAAGAGTCCTTATCAGAATAACCCATAAATAAATGCTGAAGAACCAATAACCCAAACTAACATGTCAAACATTTCTTGAATATGCTACAATATTTTATGCCCTCAACAAAAGGGAAATGCTCATTCAAACAGGACATTAAACCTCTACTTTACCTCAAAAGGCTATAATTAAATATTTATGCAACTCAAGATATACATGTAATTTCTGGCGTTCTTTCGTCATCAGTGGTCAGAATATTCTGAATATCTTAACCTCTTCAACTCCTTGAGACCACCGGTGGATCCAAAACGCACTTCGTCATATTCTTCATAACTTTCATATTTCATAAGCTACATTCTAAAGGTGGGGGTCGTATGAGAGCTGTAACTGTCTTCTTTCCAGTCAAATAGATGGGTGATGTAATTTTAAACCCTTATAATAAAAGAAGCTGAACTCACAATTCGAAAGTCGACCCATTTTTCCACAAATCTGGGCTATAAACTATAAACAGATGGCGTCTCGTCAGTGATCTGCTCTGTAAAAATTATTTTTTATAAAAACAATACAAAGAGCGTCTAAGATTTTTGGCTTTCAGCAGTAAATTGTAAGCATATAGCAATGTGTGATCATAAAACACATTCTGTTAATTTGACAGTAGCTTTTACAAAAAATAAATGAATACATTTACATTCATTTCATACAGTTACCGAATAATTTACCTTACGATTTGGTCATGTAAATTCAGATAGAAAAAACAAAACATACCACGGAGAGTGACTCTTCAACCCGGTCTTTAGCCATGCACTTATAATTTTACACCCAGTTTTACAGAGAAACGTCACTCATACGCTCCAGTTTTTTGGCAAAGCAACCTATTAAAAATAAAGGCCTGTAACGCTAACTACATAGACAAAGCCTAACCGAGTCCAGCTAAAATAAACACCACTACGCAAACTTTAAACGCAGGATTTAACTAAAACACGCGGTTAAAAACTTAAGGACGCTTTATAGGTTGAACAGTAATCGTACGGACTTTATTTCAGCCTCGGTGTCGAGGCCACGTGGTGCTGCTACAACGCTGATTCAGGCGCTGCTGTTGCGGCCTGTGTGCTGAGGTCGTGACCGAGCGCAAATAAACACAAACCCACCTCAGTTCTGTTCAAGTTAGACCCGTCTTCGTGCCTCTGAAACGAAGCTTGAGCTGCCCTAATGCAGCGCTGCAACTCAGTCTCGCCATGCCGCAGTGAGAGGAAGAGGAAACTTCCGCAGCGTATTTAAGCCCTCGCAGCACCGAAGGAGCGCGAGGAATCTTGGGATACCTCCCGCCTTCTGAAACTTTGCGCCCTACACCCGACACCCTACACCCTGCTCCCTACATCCTACTCCCTGCTCCCTACATCCTACTCCCTACTCCCCACACCCTGCTTCCTGCACCCTACACCCTGCTCCCTACTTCCTACTCCCTACTCCCCACACCCTACTCCCTACACCCTGCTCCCTACCAGAGAACTTGTAGAGAGGAGAATTACACTCTGCAATGTCTTCCGAGTTTCTCAAACGCTAGAGGGCGCTCCCGAGCGAGTCCAAAATGAGTGGGTTAGATGGAGCGTTTGAACAAAATCATAGTTTACAAATGCTGAAACATTTTTAATTTTAAAGAATACATTTATTTCCTGAACAGAGCAGCTTAAAACATTTTAACACTGCTGTTTTATTTTTAAGAGCTTTTAAACTCGAGTTATGGGAGTTTAAAACAGCACCTCATGTACGTCCATGACGTCAGTGAGCGCGAACAGCCAATGAGCTGCTCCGCTCGCCAACCAATCAGCACTCAGTGGCAGTAATGCCCGCCTCCTGCTGCCCAAAACCCGTTTGCTGTAGAAAAAAGGAAACATACAGGTGAGTTTTCTTTGCTTTTTTAGTGAAATACGTCCTTCTACTTTCTAAAATTAAAGGAAAATTCTGTATACATGATTAGAAACTATTTTAACTTTTCATTTTCAGCCGTTGAGCGCCGTTTACTCCCCCCGCCCCCGTTATATCAACAACAGGACTGCAAAACAGCAGAGGGCGCCCGTGAGCGAGTCATCAATGAATGGGAGTGAATGGAGCTCAACGGCTAAAAACGAAAAGTTAAAATAGTTTCTAATCACTGAACTAGAACTTTCCTTTAATTTTAGAAAGTAGAAGGACGTATTTCACTAAAAAAGCAAAGAAAACTCACCTGTATGTTTCCTTTTTTCTACAGCAAACGGGTTTTGGGCAGCAGGACGCTAACTTTACCCGCTAGTGAGTGCTGATTGGTTGGCGAGCGGAGCAGCTCATTGGCTGTTCACGCTGACTGACGTCATGAACGTACATGAGACGCCGTTTTAAACTCTTATAACTCGAGTTTAAAAGCTCTTAAAAATATAACAGCGGTGTTAAAATGTTTTATGTTATTCAGTGGTCAGGAAATAAATGTATAAACATTAGAAATGTTTCAGCATTTATAATCTATGATTTTGCTCAGATGCTGCATATCAACCCATTAAAACCTTCTCTACGAGTTCTCTGACCACACCTAAAAACTGTTGCGTCGCATTTTGCTCGTCCAACAATAAAAAACAACAGATTACGTTTGTCTTTACTGCCCCAATGAGCGAATAGTAAACTGTGGGACCTGGCCAGTCAGTACTTGTACATTTGTGGCAAACATTTAATCACAGCTGAGTTAATAATGAGAATGGGAAGTGGCCAGGCCCCTCATAACCCAGCTCTGAAAGTACTTGGATACTTACATATCCACCAAGTGGTCATTCTACAAAAGTGCACAATCTGCTTCCCCAAACTTTTACATTTTATTACAGATCATCTGGCCTGTTATTTAGGCTGAACACATGGTTGATGGTAAGAAGGTTTAGCTGTGCAGCTTAAGTGCCCACATGTTCATGAACTCTCTATATATTATTACTGTGCATGGAATTATAATATAATTAATACTGCATCAGTTTTAATAAAAGTGACATGGTTAAGGTGTAGCTTGACAACTTTATCCACGATGAGAAAAAAATGGACAACATAAATAGGCTGTGTCCAAAACCGCTAATACTAAATAATATGTCAAAATATACACCCATCAGCCTTAACATTAAAACCATCTCTATTATTGTCCATTTTATCAGCTCCACTTACTGTATAGGTGCATTTGTAGTTCTACAGTTACTGACTGTAGTCCATCTGTTTCTCTGCATACTTTGTTAGCCTGTTCTTTAATGGTCAGGACCCCCACATGACCACCACAGAGCAGTGACACCGATGTGGTGGTGGTGTGTTAGTGTGTGTTGTGCTGGTACGAGTGGATCAGACACGGCAGTGCTGCTGGAGTTTTTAAACACTGTGTCCACTCACTGTCCACTCTGTTAGACACTCCTACCTTGTCAGTCCACCATGTAGATGTAAAGTCAGAGACGATAGCTCATCTGCTGCTGCACAGTTTGTGTTGGTCATCCTCTAGTCCTTCATCAGTGGTCACAGGACGCTGCCCACAGGACGCTGTTGGCTGGATATTTTTGGTTGGTGGACTATTCTCAGTCCAGCAGCGACACTGAGGTGTTTAAAAACTCCAGCAGCACTGCTGTGTCTGATCCACTCAGACCAGCACAACACACACTAACACACCACCACCACATCACTGTTACTGCAGTGCTGAGAATGATCCACCACCCAAATAATCTGCTGCTCAGTGGTAATCTGCTGTGGTGGTCCTGACCATTAAAGAACAGCGTAAAAGGGGGTTACAAAGTATGTTCAGCAACATATGGATGACAGTCTGTAACTGTAGATCTACAAAGTGCACCTATATAGTAAGTAAAGCTGATAAAATGGACAATGAGTGTAGAAACAAGGAGGTGTTTTTATGATGTTGCGGCTGATCGGTGTAGTTTGTGTACGGTCTGTGCTTTTGAATGCAGCGTAGCTTATTTTATATTTCACAGTTTTCTTTAAAGAGCCTTCATCAAAAAAAGTTCTTGTTTTAAATGAGTGACGCTACTACAGTGTTACGATTGGTATGTTGGTGAAATAGTGAAAACAGTTAGTACAATTAAAACTGCGAAGCCTAGCATAAGCCTGTATTTTACTAATCATAGGGAATGTTAAACGAAACATTTAAAGTCTTTTCTCTTAGATTACCTAATAGTAATAAGCATTAATGAGCGCTCTGTGTTCAATGGATCCCATCAGTGTTTTTTCCCCTAGTCTTACACTAGGTGTCACTGTCTACCTTTGTAGGTTAATGACTAAATCGATATCCCCAGCATGACCACATCTGCGTGAAATACAGCTGCAAATTCATTCATTCATTCTAAAGTTTTATATCTCTTTGATTTGAACAGGTCAGTTTAGTGTTAAGGATTTTAAATGGCCCATATCCTAAATTTATCTGTTTTTATTTTTTGACATCAACGTCCATTTACAGTGTTTGTGTGTTTTTATGTGCCATATGTGTCATAATTCACCTTTACATGACTATTTTCCAGCTTTACATTTAAATAGGCTGCTTTTGTTACTGTCACTTTAAATCTGATATATGTAGAAGAGCTCTGTTCTAATTGGGTGTCCTGTATTGTGCCTCGTTCAACAAGCAGTCAGAGCTGAAACACTCCTTCTATCTTCAGTGCTGCCGTCTGGCAGAAGGTACCAGATGCCCTATTTGCCTATCTGGAACTTTGCTGCTAATACAGTGTTTACACTTTGTTCACTCTAGTACTGTGTATATCCTCAGGAACTGCTGTGCTCATGTATGTGATAATCTGACTGCGTTTACTCACAGATCACAGCATGTTAAATAATCTTTGCACCTTATTCCACTACCTCAAGCTCAGAAATGAGTGCTGTGTTGGCGCTGCACTGTCCTGTCTGTTTACTGTGTCTAATGTCTGTTTTATTTATTTTTGGTATTGTTTGTAGTATAATTTTTAATTTTTTTGCACACTTATGTCTGCACGTTTGCACTTTGTACTGTCTATTTTGTTCCATGTTCCTTGGAGGAACGTAATTTCACTCCACTGTGTACTTGTACATAGATGGAAATGACAATAAAAGCTTCTTGACTTGACTTGAGTGTGAATGGCTGGGGCTAAACTGGTATAGTTAGAATATGTAGCCAGATGTATGTAAATGTGCTGGTTTTCATGGCGTCACAAAAACAATGGGCCTCATTCACCAACCGTTTTTAAGAAGAAATTTCTTCTTAAACCCACTTACACAGTTTTCAAGAAGAGTCTGACTCACCAATGTTCTCTTATGTGGGATTTGTTCTTAGGTAAGAACAGAGTCTACACACACTCAAGAGCACAAAGTTGAGAACAGTTCTGTGCTTTAAGAACACGTCATGAATCTGACGTAGACTTTTTCTTAGGACCTTTCTCAAGAACTAACTAAAAAAAACAGGAGGATATTGATGAACGAGGCCAATTAAATTTAAATCAGGATGTTTTGCAGCTTAATTTCAATAAATGGACTGGGGAGTGCATAGGGAAACTTTAGCAATGTTTACATACTACATTAAACTCTTTCATTTAGGTAAAAAAAAAAAGAAAATTTGTTTTTCCACAATAGTTTGGCCTGTCAGGCTGAATGTTACCATGATTGACACCTTGTTAGGATCACATGGCGTATAAAGAAACATGCAAACAAGTCTAACAAGTGTAAAAGTAATTTTCCCTGGCAGCTGACCATGGGATATCGCCACGCAACATCTACCATTTATCAATACTCGTTTACAGAGGTGTCACCAGTCCAACCACAAAGGGCTGGTGCGGCTGCAGGATTTCATTCTAAGCGAGCAGGATCACACGTCTTGTTTTGCTTTGTTTTTTTAAAGCTGAGACCTGATGAAACAAGCGGAATCAAGCATGCTTTGGCTTGACTGGAACTAAATTCTGCCTCCACACTGGCCATTTGTGGATAAGATTGCTGACACCTGGTTTAGAGGGTCAATGATCTTCTATCACAGACATTATAAATTTGTCTTTAATGATCTTCCCTCTGGTTGCATTGCCCTTGTGTGAGTTTAACCACAGTGAATGTTTTCAGTTCCCCCCCCTGAGAAAGCCAGAGCTACACGTTACCTTCTGACCTCTAGTACAAATCAGTGCTCGGTTACCTACTGTTAACCTTGCTGTGCTGCTTTGCATAAGAACATGTGGGAGGTGTTGTTATAGGAGTAGTCAACCTGTCGTGTCTTCACTCGCTGAGTCCGTAGTTATTTATATAACAGAAATTTGCCCTGAGCAGGCCTCAAATTAAACCTCGCTCTCTAGGATTGTTTGTTCTCTAGGATGAACAACTTTTACTGTTTTGACAACACTGAACCCTTAATGATGAGACCTGGAGGAACAGTCCTCTATTAGTCATGCCCGTATACGTTCAAAACAGTATGGTTTGCTTTCCCAGAGCATCAATAGACACGATTCACTTTCTGTCAGACCGTTCAAACCCAGAGACGACGCACTGACTGACGACCGCGCTTTTCGGACACAAAGAGGCACCAGGTTTTATTGCCTTTCCCAAGAGATCTGGCGTCACTCTGCCCTATAAAAGGAACTTTCCCACTGAGACGCCTGGACAAACGCTTCACCCCTTATTCTGCTGGGGGAGAATTCTCCAGAGTGGCCCGAGCATCTCCATGGCAACATTTACAAGTCGGGGGTAACGGTGGTGGTCACCCTACAGAGGTGGAAGTGGGGGAGATCTTGAGTGGAGCCGAAGGGCGAGGCTCAAAGGGTTGTTCAAGAGGATGACCTTAGGAGAGGAGGTCTCGGGGCCTTGAAAATAAGCCAGTGCATATGACCCAAGTTAAAGATGACATTATTTGAATGCTTCACTTCAGTTGACCAACATCGACTGCACCTTGTGGAAACTGTTGCAACCAAACCTTTTGGCCGGGTGGAGAAAACTTTTCCAGCGGAAAATGTCACCAAGTAGGGGAGTAACGGTTCACAAAATTCATAATTCCATTCAATACAATATAGTGATTTCTTGATTCTATACATTTTTTGGTACAGCAAAAATAAGGAGCGCCTCAAAATCCATATTTTGATATGAGAATTGTCAATATCCAATATCTGCACATATCTGTGGATACTGTTACTGATGCAGATACATGAACATTAATAAAATGTAGTAATTGGTTTAGCATCAACAGATAAATGTGACTTATTTTGTAGGGGGTCGCTAATGTAGCAAAAAGAATAAAATAAATAAAATGCAGATATTTTAGCTCAGTAACCCAGCTTTACCCAAACATTCTGCTCCTCTGGACAACAATTAACGTGTCATCAAATACCGCTTTGAAATATCGGTCAAATCTAAACATCTATCCAATGCTTTTAATTTTTAAAAACAAATTTCTGCCAATACCGCTGATTCCAATATCACTGTGCATCCCAAAATGTTAACGTTTCCATTTTCAGTTTTGCAAAGCGTTCAACTTTATAAAAGTACAATATATTATAATAATGCACAAGCCAAGAACTGCTATATTAGCCCTGGGTCCGTATTCAAGAACCTTCTCAGATTAGGAATGCTGTTGTAGAATCTGTTCCTATCAGTAAGATGATCATAATTAAGACTTGAAACTGATCCTGAATCAGCACTCCTGATTTAGGAGCAGGTTTTTTGAGAAGCCTTGCAAATATGGGCCCTGAGCTCATTTGGCATTCCTTGTGGAGTCCCGCAAGGTTCAGTTTTAGGGCCTTTGCTTTTCTCTTTGTACATGCTACCTCTAGGTGACGTCATTAGAAAGCATAATATAAATTTTCAAAGCTATGCTGATGACACCCAGTTATACATTTCCATTGAAACTCTGTCTCGTGGTGTTTAATTTTTAATTTTCTTATGAGTCTATATTAATACTTATAATTTCTTGTATACCTGTTTTTTTTTATTTCCTGTCGGTAAAGCACTTTGAGCTGCTACCAACATGAAAAGTGTTATATAAATAAAAAATATAATAAAAATAATAACAATAATAATAATAATAATAATAATAATACGCCTTCATATTTTTGCTCTCAATTTTGAAGTGAAGAGCAAAACGGAGGGAGGTTCTGCCTTCATTTCGAGATGGTTTAATTTCTACCATACTTCATGCAATATTATCTGTACTAAACTGAGTATTTGTATGTGCACCAATACCTGTGAGCATTGAACAAAGGGGCTTGTATTTAACAGCATGATACACTGTATTGTTACACTCCTACGGCGTTTTCCACCAGACAGTGCGATGCAATATGGTACAGGACGGTTACTAATATGTGATTGTGCATTTTGTCATCATTTCTAATGGAGCAAGTGTGCAAATCACTGATTCGTGGAACACAAGTCACAGCTAACTTGTATCAGTTCTGCTTTCACTGCCATTTCATGCCAAATGCTAGATCTTTACTTCATTTATATCCTTTATTTCATGATCTTATATTTACAAATACAAATATGACAACAGACATATTCTGTGTTAAATTAACATTTTTTTCTTCAACACAGTAACACAAAATCCAGCAGACTCTTGGGCCATTTGGCCAGCATTAATCTCTCAAGTCTGTAAAGTGCATCAGGTTGAGGAGAATAAAAGGGTGAAGCTGCGTACCGAAACAGTGGTAACATACCGCTCACATGGTGGTATCTCTCATGCAGCTTTGGGACTTTGCATTAAGACCTACATATCCCTTCACAACTGATTTTTGTCTTAAATTAATGACTTTGTACCTAATCTAAACTACTCGGTCACTTTGAACTGGTGTAAGGACCATTTGTGTGGCAGTGTGTGGATGCTGTGCATGAAGACAGACAATATAAAAATCACTCAGTAACTGCAGGTCCTTACACCCAAGTGCCATGTCTCACTGTAACTGTTCGACATTTTCACAATGTCACGTGATACACTGAGAGCTAAGAGGAACAAAGGACAAACACTTTGAATTAAGACATTCAAAACTAAGAACGACAAAGCTTGTCGGGTCCAAAGACGGGCTGCTATAAGAACTTTTCTGGCAGGAATTGCATTTGACTTTCCTCCAGAGGTGCTCCGTAGCCTGCACAGAGCACCCTACTGTTCAGAGGTAGGCAGTGCTGCACCCAGCTCTGTGGACTGTGTCCACATCATTAACAGTCACCATGTTTTGAAAAGGATAAATCGCATCGCGACACCTAACTCAGTGGAGGACTCTGAGAGGAGTGGCTGTCCTCCTCTCTTTGGGATCTATTTCAGTGCCCTGGTCTCAGGCCCTTTCGAGCTAAAAAGAATGAATGGCTCTTTTATCTAAGGGCATTCTGGACAGAGACAGAGCTAGGTGATAGGACTGAATTGATGGTTTAGACAACAAAACCCGTCGCAGTGACTTCAGTCCGAAAAGGAAAATAGGTGCTTTTAATCCCTCTACACTATTCATTCAAATGCCTGCGAGCACCCTACAAATGCCCTTAAATGCACATATACATACAAACACAAACACACACACACACACACACACACACACACACACACACATATATACCACAGTCTGTGTTGTCACCACTAAGTGAAGACCTTCAAACATCACCTCCACATAGGCTGAGTGGCAGGTCGTGGGACTTTGGGGCCTGCAATCCTCGCCCCTGATGTCACCTTAGTGGAGGCACTGTCTGCATTCTTGGCTGTTTTTGCTTTGGCTGCACTGATGACAGCAGTTCGAATGGTCTTTGCGTTCGTAGCTGCTGTTGGGCTGTGGACGGTGCGAGCCTGGCACGGGCTCTGGGGTTCAAAGTTGGAGGCGAGCCGCTTGGACACTCGTAACGGGGAGCCCCTGACAAACGGCTCACGGCCCGGGAGCACCTTCTCCTTATCCTGGCTGGCTTTCTCTGCAGGTCGCCGGTTTTGCTTCACCAGCGTGTCAGACTGCCCGCTCGCCTTGTCCCGCGTGCTGCTACTGCGCTTCAGCTCACTTTGGATGCTGGTGGGCCGCGTGATAGGGGACAAGCGCATAGAGGAGGTGCGAGGAGGGGTGAGGCGTGAAGCACGAGGGGTGGAAGGTCCCTCAGAAAGGCTTGAATCTGCCTTGGCCCGCACTTTTGGAACGCCAGTGCTGTTAGAGAGCAAACTTCGGGGTGTCATCCCCCTTTTAGCAGGCCCTCGAGCTGAGGTCTTTCCAGCACGTGGGTCTTCCTTGGCCTGAGGTGAACTTGCTCCGTCCCTCTCCTCAGCCTCCAGCTCCTTCCTCCATTTGGAGCAGTGGCTGGGGGAAGGCCGTGGCACAGTGGGCGAAAGGGCCTCGTAAGAATGCAGGCCCTTCACTAGAGTGTGGCACTCCACAGTCTCGCCTACCCGCAAGTATGTCCGCTCTCTGTCCGGGCTGGCCGGTTCCGGTTCCTGGGCCAGCTGCGGGGCCGCTGCAGGAGGGCAGGACCCCGGCCAAATCTCCATAACTGTCCCTAACTTCTTAGTATCAGCCTCCAGGGCCATTCTTTTCTCAGACAGATGATGCTGAGAGCTAGCTTCAGCAGCATCTGTACTGTCCTGCTTCCCTACTTCCTCTAAAACATCCGTTGTTATATCTGCTAACCTTTCAGAGACGTCATGTACCTGTCTCTCAACTTTCAACACCTTCTTAGGGGACATTCCTGTGAGGGATGAGACATTCGTTGACCCCTGTTGCTGGACTATGGTATTATCTCCTGGAGAAATAAAGGCATCATCACTGGACACTCTCCTTGGACAAAACCTTGTAGCAGCATCAGCTTGGCTCTTCACACTGTCCTGAACAACTTCCGTGTTTCTGTAAAGGCCAAATGCAGAGTCCGTTCTTAATAAACATTCCCCTATTGAAGCGTCCATTTCAACTCTGCTCTGGCCGTTTGTGCTATTAACACTGTCCTTAGTTAGTGTTTGCCTACTAAGCACAGAGTTTCTACCGTAACCCTCTGAGCCGATGACCTGTTGGAGGTCTTCTCCCTCAGAACTAAGAGGTCTTGGTGAGTTAGAGTCCGAGCTTTTGCACTCATAGTTGAGGACATGTTGCGACTGTCTGCGGAGGCTGCGCCGGCTCCAGGTGTAGCTCAGGTTCCTCTCCAGCGTGCGCTCCAGGTCATCAGGCTCTCGACCCAGCTCAAGGCCACCACACAGCGCCAACGAGCGTCGCTTCTCAGTGTTCTCCCGCTCCCGCTCTGCACGCCTCTGTTCCTGCCGCTCCCGCTCAGTGTTCTCCTGAGACACAGAAAATGTCAATGAATGAATGAACGAATGAACGAACAAACTAATGAATAAATGAAATTTTCTCCTGTTGAATGCCAGAAACCTTAAACTATATAATTACCTAATTACAGTATAAAAACATGTCTTTGAAACATCACATACAGTATTCCACCAAATATAAAACAATGCCTTCAGGCCTGTGGAGAATGGACTAGAGCAGGGGTCAGCAACACGCGGCTCTTTTACTGCCCTGTTGCGGCTCCACAGCACAATTAGATTTTTCAGCAAATAAAATAATCCTCCTTTACAGTAAAATAAAGCTCTGCTGATCATTCAACACAGATTAACAATAAATGGTCTTAAACGCTGGAGTTAATATAGAACTGCTAATTCACCCTTTAACCCTGAAGATCAGCACAGACTGCTGGTCGCACAGCAATGCAGACAACCTCGCCTAGCTAGTAGCTAACGAAACGGCAAAGAGAGAGATTTAAGACGAACATTGATAATTTGGAGATGAATGGACTCATTTGCATTTATAATCCTGATACGTTTAATCTGCAATGAGAAACTGTCAAACACTAAAAAGTCGCAAAGCTGAAGTCAGATTCTCACTCAAATTTTGAAGTTCCAACTTAAATGTTGCATCAGTTAGCTACATATTTACATTCTGGCACTTCAAGCAGCATTTAAGGTGGAACAGGAAAATTCTAACAAGAACCTGGCGAATGAGAAGCGACTTCAGCCTCGTAAAAAGTCGAACATCGAGATACATTTTACAAGAAACTATTCTTCTTTTGCAGAAAAGTTTCCTGCCGGAGATGCGAGAAAAGCGCCTATAGCTGAGCCAAAGCTTAAAGCAGAGCAAAGTAAGTCAGCATTTTTTCGTTAATATAATTATTTTTTTTGCCTATATTAGGATATCAGCACATACTGAGACATGTTTACAGCCAAGATGGTGAAACGGTACTTCAATAAAATGGACATGAAATATTGTGGCTCCCAAGGTGGTTAGATCTTCGTTGAAACTTGGCAAAATGGCTATTCTTAACATTTGGGTCACGACCCCTGGACTAGAGAACGTCAATAAAGCAACTTGTTAAATAAGACAGCCGTGTCTATCCAATCTGGCTTGGGTGCGTTAAACCTGAACACATTTTTTACTTACTACTGGTTCAGCTTCATTTGCAACCCAGAGCAGTGTACTCACCCTCACAGCTTTTTGGAAGCGATGGCAAAAGCACTGAAAGATGCGGCAGGCCTCTTCCAACTTGAAGGAGCTCTCATCCTCACAGAAAAAATCCACCAATGCCTGGCTAGTCTTACGTAAGCTATCCACCTCATCCTGGGCTTCCTTCAGCCTCACTTCTGCGGTCTGATTGAGAAAGCATTAAAAGACTGCATTGACCTTTAGGTGGAAACACGAATCCCGTTATATATAAACTACTATATATATTTAAACTCTGACAAAAATAATAACGAACCAGTCCTTACCTCCAGGAAAGATCTTGTCTGCTGTTCAATCTCAGCCTCTGTCTGAGCACTGATTCTCAGTGCTGCTACTCTGTTCTGTAACCGGCACAGATCCTCAAGCACAGATTCCTCTGATAGCCTAATCAAACACAAAGGGAGTCAGATCTCCTCTTGTCTTCATCAAAAAATCTTAACTTGAAACTAACATCAACAGATTAATGACTGAAATATTAAGCTAGAGAAAAGGTATATAGCATCAACATTAGGTGGCACACAGATGGCTAAATAACTGACCTTGAGGCTGAACTGACATGACTCAGCTGGCTTGGAAAGGTCAGTAAGTCCTCATCCTTCTTTACAGCCTCCTGCAGCAGCAAAAATAAACTGTTCACAGGTCTGTCCACTAAAATCCATGACACACTCATTACATGACTCGTGTTTTTATTGGTTATTGGTTATAAAAATATATTACGTCTGTCAATGAGCAACAGTTTCAAACATAACCCTTTTGAAAGAGGTGATATATCCTAGATGCAAGTTTAAAATTACATTAATATATGTGAAAAGAACAAACAAGAAAGATGAAGCCCAACTACAAGTCGGTTTTCAAGAAAGTAGGTTTGAGGGGACATCATCAGCATTGAGATGCAGACTGTATTATGCCTTCAGTGCACTGTTGTATGCATATTACACCTTCATCCTCTGTTATATAGTGTCTTTCTAAGCAAGCGTCCAGAACACTTAGCAGCATGTGTTGCACAATGGAACGCTATTCGCACAACTCTGTCCATTCTTACGTCAGTACTGTAACATGAACCTGTCAACTCCATTCAAACAGATCAAAGTGCTGCAAAGCTACACAATGAAAGCATCCCTCTTTTTACTGGGTGGGTTTGTTTATCACTGAAGTTTAGAAGTGAAAGAGTTAGGTAACTGCAGCCTCAGAGCCTTACGATACGTACCATGGCAACAAAATGGAGGAGGTTCATGCCTGGTTTGTTGGCTTTGGTGTCGGCCAGTTTGAGCAGAGAGGCAATCCTAAAGCCGGCTGCGTTCCCCGCGTAACCTCCCTGTTGGCACAAGTGAGGTCAGTGCGATTGTGTTCTATGGTGCATGACTTGTTAAACAAACAGTCCATATCAGAGCCAGTATTCTGAAAGAGCAGTGCTTGAACACAGCAAAAATACTATCTCAGACACACACACACACACACACACACACACACACACACACACACACACACACACACACACACACTTCTGCAGGCTTTCCTGTGCATGTGGACGGCAGCAAAAACTTACAGCATTCATGTAGTTCCCAGCTTTGAGCACCAGGCGCAAGATGGAATGAAGCTTCTGGCACTTCAGCAACTCTGCAAAGAAGTAAAGCAGCATATTAGCCACATAAAAATCCTTCCGCCACAGATTTTGCTTAGGTGTTCATCACTGCATCTAAAACTCCAAAGATCTTTTGGTAGCCAGGAACAGCTCTGATGCTTTGAGATGGGGAAGGACATGTGAAGGTGATTTATGAGGCAAGCTAAAGCGATTGAAGTGGCAACAAGAGCAAACAGAGCGCGCTAAAAGGAAAGAGACACAGCCCCCCTGCGAATGGCTTTACCTCGAGCTGCCTCCCCCAGACATCTGGCCGCCACACAGAGAGAGGTCACAGCAGGGTCGAACTCCTGCTGTAGGATCATGGCATCCAGGCGCAGGCGAACACTAACGGAGACAAGCAGCGATGGGAGGGAAGAAGGACTGATCAATCAGCAGTCAGTGCAAAGTGCCTTTGCTTTGTCTTTGTTTATACTGGGGAGAGGGGTTGGCAACAGTCAAAATGAGATGGCTAGGAGCAGATAGGGATTGCATTTACTGGCGGGGGTATAGAGTTACTGAGGAAATTGATAAGAATGTGCTAATGATTAGGAGGGAGAGAACTAGAATAGCTAGTCTGCAGGAGTTCATTACTTACTTTGGTACTTCCACCAGTAAGAGCATGAAGAGGTCTGGCTCTCCAAGCATGCTACGCTCTCCTATAAACCTTTTCAACCGTGCTTCCTGGGAACAAACAATGATGTCAGTCAAAAAAATATATTCAGCACTTGCAGTATATATGTTTGCATGTTGCAGATCTAAGCTCACATATTTAAAAGTGACTTTAATAAAAAAGCACAGCTATTTGACTGGTGCTTGGTACGCTGCATAACCCACTCTTGCCTCTTCTCTCACTTTACTCTGACGCCTAGTTCTGTGAGAGTGGTGTCCAAGACAGCAAATGAGAAACCCTCAGAAAAGAGTGAGGGGTGTATCTGTAATGGTTTTAATATCCAATACAAATTTTGGCACTGTCTCAAAATCATTATAGCCTATTATTCACCGAAATCTGGAATAGGATTTTTGGCAGACTATTCCTTTAAAGGGCCTACATGACAGAAAACCGAATTTACTGTCCACTCCCTAGTCCAGGCAAGTCAAACTGGTGACCTTCCGAGCCAAAATGCTACAGAGATTAGAGTTTACCCTCATCTACTGCTCTGAATTCAGTAAATGAAGGGCTTGAGCTGAATCAGGTGTGTAATGAGGCAGTGTGCTGAAATACAGCAGGTCAGCCCCACCCATTCACACTTAAGTTATAAGGGGCATTTCAGCCCAGATTGCTTTTTGCTTGAAGCACAATACAAGGTTAATCAGGTTATTTACATATATCAGTCTTAAAAGTGTAGTAACTAAACAGCCAGTTGAAATGAGTAAAAATGAGTAATCACTAGCTTTGGGATGTAAAACCACACAAATGTTAAGTGGACTTCAGAGACAGAAATAAAACTCCATAAAACTCTAAAATGTAGGTCAGTGGTCACTAATAGGTGGGCCACGGTCCGAGTCCAGACCCAGACGGTGTCCTATGCTGACCTGGACCTATAATCGATAAACTATGGAGAATTATTTAACTTCAACAGAGTGGTCCTATTTCGGGGTAACATTTCTAGTCATTACGGTGCCGGTTTAGCAGCCCGGGAAACTCACAGACCAATCGCATGCTTTGTAAATATCACACGTGACGCTACTCAGCCAATCAGTTTTTTGCATTACGATGAGCACTGAGACTTGAGTGAGTGACGCACACACAGGGGAGGGACGAGGCGAGAAACAGCAGTCAGAGAAGAAAGTGAGTCAGAGGGAAGTTATTTCACATGGCGTTCTCTAAAAAGAGAAAACTGACAAATGTTGTTGAAATATGACTGAATTGTATTTTATGTGATTTGACATTCAGTTGTTGACTGTATAAGATGTTGATATACCCACTAGGCTACTTCAGTTTACAGTATACGGCACTGAATCACGATGCAAGTTAGACATTCTGATGTTCCCGTACCTTTGCTTGAGGAAATTTTCTCTAACTGGACCTTATAGAATTTTAATTAAATACCCCTGATGTAGGTTATGGGTCCTTCAACTTCATTAAGTACAGAGTATAAGATAGGACAGATGTGGGCAATGTAGATCCCAGCGGCACCGCGGCGAAATAGCACTCATGCTAATATAAAACAGACTGAGTAATGAGGAGAGAGGCAGCATCACCATTCTGAGAGTTTGCCCTGCCGGACAGGACAGAAAGTGCAGCGTTTTTTACCTCCTCGCTATCAGGCAGCAGCTTGCACAGCTCGGCGAGTTTTTCGGCCCCGTAGCGCTCCCCGGCCCCCTGCCTCACATCCTCCACAATCTCCTTGGCTGCGCTGTGGAGAAAGGAAACACCCCACGTGAGAATGACATCACTTTTCACAACATCCCTGAGGCTTGCTATCTCATGCAGCTGCAGTATCAAAGCAGGGGTCACTGCAAACCGATCTCTCTACATTTCAGCCCATAACCCCAGGATAATGACACTTTATGAACTTTCTGAGCCAGTACTGTCAAAAGAAAAGGAACCAATTGTAAAAAACGCCCATAACGGCACTGTGACATTTCACCCCTCTGAGCTCAAGCAGACGTATCAAACCAGACGTATCTGGGTGGCACATGGAAAAAGGCTCTTGGATGCCACAATGGTGAGAACAAAAGAAGATACAACAACTAAACAAACATTAAAAAGAAAAGAAAAAAAACGGCTTAATTCCGAAGAACCGGATCGACTCATTTCTTTCACAAGTTTCTGAAGGGCTGCCAAAAAAGACATCTGAGCTGCCAATTTAATAACACAATACACTTAGTCAAGTTAGCTGTTAATTAATTTCAACACTACAGAAAATCATTTCCATAGTTTCACCAGCCATCAATCAGCTTTTTAGTTTGTTTTTACGGCTTTGCTCTTACAAATTTTCCCAGGTGATCTGCCACATACAGGTGGCTCTTTTGCTTTGCTTCCAAGAATCTTGCAAAAGGCATTAGCTCACCGTTTTTGTACCTTCCACCCTGTAATTGTTTATGTAAGAGAATACTGGTGGCCCCCAGGAGCCGGTAATATGAAATAATGAAAAGGTACAAGAGCAGGACACAAAGAACCTCTTGCTGGGCATGCATGAATGTAATTCATAGCACTTCCCCTCCTCAAAAGTGGCCTGATACACAACAGCCTGTGCGGTCATGGTAGATAAAAAGGCGAAGAGTGGAAACAAATGTTTTAGCCTGCACGAGAACTTCTTCATAATGTTTCTCAGAACAAGTTCTGGCAGATATCGTTCTCAGTAAGTTGCTCTTCAATTAGGCTATGACGCGGTCAATTGAAACCACATCCATTCAGAGTGCAAGTGCTGACATGAAGGTACACAAGCTTACAACGATGAAAAGACATGAAGTTCTGCGACATTCAAATACGCATAGCCCATTACTATTGTGCTTACTGTAAAACATCCCATAATAGGAAAAAAGAACTGAAGACAGGATAAGTCTTTCTAGCAGTATGACGATCAATCACTGCTCGTTTTCATGGCCACCATTAGTGTGGAACCTCAGCAGGGCCCAGGAGAGACATTTACATTTTACAGTTGCCCAGTGCTGTCGGAAGAAAACCTCGTATCTCCAAAATGTTAACTTTACAGGAGAAGGAAAAAACCTACTTTACTTAACCTCTTATTCTCCAGAGTATATTTTGGTTTGTGCATCTGAATTTACATGCCCAAATCATAAGGCACATTATTCAGTAACTGCATGAAATAAATGTAAAGTGTTGATGTTTTTTTGTAAAAGCTAGAGCTGAAAGATTAATCGTTTTATATTGAAATCGCAATTTAAGAAAGTGCAATTTTCAAATCGCAAGAGCTGCAATTTGTCAAGAATTATAGCCCACATTATCAAAGACGCTGTCCAGTTTTAAGAGGAGAATTTAACCTAATAACACAGAGCTTGTTGTGAACTGCCTGTAGAGTTCGACCAATCAGGGGCAGCCAAACCTTCAATCTGTTGTGACATCACAACCACAATTTACTAGCTGCCTAATACACAACATTCAGGGGTTGAGCCTCAAGCCAAAAAAAAGGTGGATATTCTGGTCTTCTGGGCCAAAAAAAAAGGCCTGAACCTCAACTTATAGAAAGTAATCGCAACTGAAATCGCAGTCGCAATTTTAATCAGAAAAATCGCAATTAGATATTTTCCCCAAATCGATCAGCCCTAGTAAAAGCTCCTCTCAGATTAACCAAAAATGTGTTTTATGATCATAAACATAATGCCATATGCCTACAATTTACTGCTGAAAGCCAAAAATCTTAGACACTCTTTGTATTTAAAAAAGAAATATATTTTTTACAGCGCAGATCACCGAAGAGACGCCATCTGAGATCCAGTCTATAGCCCAGATTTGTGGAAAAATGGGTCAACTTTCAGTAGGAGTTCAGCTTCTTTTATTATAAAGTTTTAAAATCCCATTACTCATCTGTTTGACTGGAAAGAAGAGAGTTACAGCTCTCATACGACACCCACCTTTTTAATGTAGCTTATGTTAAAGAGGTTTAAAACTGTTGTGGTAAATGAAAGTGTGCTTCACTGTTGTTTGCCAAGAAAATCTACCTTCTGTATTTAAGACAACTAGCCTACATTTGAATGTTACATTTTGAAAAATAGTATTGAAAATGTAGCATGTAATCAATTCACAATGCGATAAACATTCGTATAATTCATAAAACCTTGCCAACTAAAAAATATGGAACAAATGAAAATTAAAGAAAAGTAAAAATCCTCAAAATGTTGACAAAATGCTTCATTTCCCTTCAAAACTCACAGCAAGCCAACAGTAGCCACGGTAAAGATATTGGTAGGACAAGAACATTACAGTTTGAAACGCTCAGTGTTTTTACATAAGGTCTAAGACCGTACAGCCCATTACAGTGAATGGGATCAAAACAGTGCTAGGCCTGAGTCTATCACAACATTAACAACCAATTTAATTTCAGTTTTATTAATTAAGGATAACTTTAAGTCAAGAGATGGAAATTCTGAACTTTTACTTACATAAAACCTGCCCATAACAGCCAATAACATTCCTAACCAGCTCAATGAACAGGTTACAGCTTTCCCCTCACTCTCTCTGCAGGGGAGCAGACCCCTCTAATGATGCATTTAGGGTTTAAAACAGGTGTGACCTTCAACTTCCTCGCCGACCATCAAACCCAGCTGTTCCCCTCAACGGCTGTCCGCTCCCCCCCCCTCCTTTCACACCCCCATTCTCCTCAAGAGGGCAATCCACCACTCAAAATAAACAGACCACTCTGCTGCCCATCAAGGGAAGTATTAAGCGCATCCCTTTATAGGGCAATACAGGACACCTCCATTTCCTCTTTCTCCTGGCAAAACAACACCACCTTCACATTCACAGTTGGTATTCACAAGCTCAGAGTGCTTTGTATGGTGAGAAAGTGTGAAAAGTCAACAGTGTGTCCTTACGTTTTGAACTGCCGTAGAAATATCCCAACATTCATGCTGCGCTTTGAGTCAAGCAGGGAAACCTGCAGATAAAAAGCAAAGAGACTTTGTTAGGAAACAAATGACTTGTTATGCAAGTTGGCCACGACGTCAGTCAATCTGAGCCATTGTTCCCTGATAAATCCTGCTCATATCTACGTTAATTCATGTGGTCCACTTACACTGACAACTACGGTTATCAGTGACTTAAGACATTTGAAAGACTACGTCATCAGGCAGCTTATGTCTTTATGCAAAGGTCAGTGAAATAAACTGCCTATTGATACGAAGGGGCTGTCGAAAAACCCCAAGCTGCATTATTTCTCAGATTTCAGTGACTCTTAGACTTAACACTCTAATTCTCAACATACAAGACTGGGTAATCCCTCATGATCTCACAGGAGGTGATGGACTGTGAACAGGGCTGCACAGTACACCACTGTGATTATATGGCTACATATTGTAATTGGTGAACCTCTGATGTGACAATGAGTGTGTTGACATGCACTTAATAATCTAATCATAAACAGATTTTTGCAGTTATCTGATATTTCAAATGGTGATGTAAACAGCATACTCTGATTTCATAGATTAGAGTGACGTCTAGAAATCCGATAAGCAAAACACTTTTGGAGCAATGTGGAAACCTTTGTTTGCCGAAATGAAGGATTTAAATATTCTTCATCTTCTACATGATGTATGTTCATATTTTCAGGTAAAGTGGCGCAACATTTTTTAAAAAAGGTGCGCCATGAAGTTTTACGTTGCGTTTACGTAAACCTTCTTCTGTGAGTTTATTGGTTTCAAAGCAGAAATCTGATTACTGCCTGATTCATGTAGAACCAAGGTTTCCACATTATCTGAATACTCAAGCGCACGTAAACACATCGATCAGATTACTGACAAAATCTGATTTTCTGCAGTTATCGGATTATTGCAGTGCATGCAAACGCACTCAATGTTGTGGATTTTTATTGTCCAAAAAGACTTAAGTTTGTTGGGTCACCTGAATGCCTTGATTCATCAAAATGCCCACAGAAGCTCCTCTGCAACATCTGAGGTTGGCTGTGCAGCTCATAGTACAAAATAAACAACTAATTTGTTAAAGGGCTCATTTGCATTTTGCAGCCTTGCAGCCAACATCACAATAATGATTAAAAGAGGTGCGTGATGTAGTTGTAGCCAATATACGGGGTGATTCAAAAAGATTCATCTGATGTCAAAGCACCATATTTCTACAACCATGAGGCGCCTAGGAACCAATCACATGCTAATTGAAAGAGGGGGTCATAGAGTTTCTGACTGTCAGTGGAAGATGGCTCCTTCAGTCTGAGAGGAGATGCGACCACTGAGCAGAAAACGTTCTACGTTCTCCACTTCAATAAAAGTGAATCTGTCATAACTGTGCAGTGTGATTTTCGTGGGCAGCGAACCTCCAGCAGCTCAGAGCGTTTGTCGTTGGTTCCACAACACTGGATGATCTCGAAATCGCACTGAAAGAGCCGTGAGTGCAGCGACACCCGACATGCTCAATCCAGTATGGGATGAGTTTGACTATGGCGTTGATGTTGTCTGTACAGCTGGAGGAGGTTCATACTGAGACCATGTACAATTACATAATAAACTTTATGCTCATTTAAACAATTTACAGTTCACTGCATTGATCTGTAATAATTAACAAGTGAAATAAATTGTTTTAAAATCAGATGAATCTTGTTGAATCACGCTGTATTAGTAACTGCTAAAAGGGGAAAATTTTAATTCTCACTACCGATCCATTCATGGAATTACAGCTGGTACTTAAGCACTGACACACGCAGTCACAGTGCTAGACAGTTCCATTACTTTCAACTTAAATGGTAAGCACAGTGCATTGCACCACACACAGAAGATCAGAGGTTTGATTCCCTAACAGGAATGCCAGTTCTTTGCCAATAAGAATCCTCATGCAAAACTAGTCAATGGACCATCCTGAGAGTCTGAACTTGGCCAATGCTCATTGCACTTTATATATGGATTATAGTGTGAATGAGTTTTAAAAAGCGAAGTGGTTATCGGTTATTGGTATCGGAACTGGGTGCAACAAGGTGTATCCCTAATGATTACCAAATCCTATCGCGCAGTCCTGATTAATTTATGAATCTGTGAAGGCAGCTCCTCTCACCTTGTCGGCACAAGCTTCCTGAGGGGATCTACATCGGCGCAGGCTGCGCCTGAAGCTGTCTCCTCTGTCCGGCTTGCGAGCCTCCTTCTGTCCGAAGAGTTCGTCCAGAGAGTGCAGGTCGATGAGGAAGTCGTCGTCGCCAGCTAGGGAGAAGCTCCACACGTTCTTGCGTCCTTCCACACGCTCCTTTGGGATCCGCTCCCAGTTGAGGTTGCGGAGGCGCTGTCGACGTGCTGAGTCCAGCCGGCCAATGGAGGTGGCCGTGACCGGCAGGGGCGGAGGCGGAGGAGGGGGAGGAGGAGGAGGAGGAGGGGGGATCGGCGGCGGCGGGACGGGAGCGGCATTCATGGTTGTCACTTCCGATGCCTGGCTGCCGATGCTGCCAAGCAGCGTTCCATGAAAGGCCTGAGACTCCTTGGGGTCCACGTGGAGGCAGATGCGCATAGAGGTCGGGTGCGGCCAAAGGGGCTCACAAAGCAGCCAGTGTCCTCACGCTAACTCTACGCGGCCCTCTCTCTCTGAGGCTGCCTCCTATTAAGTTTCTGATGCTTATCTGTAAGGGCAAGAGAGCATGAGATTGAGAACAGTGGCAAAGAAGACAGATATCAAATTGTGCTACATAAAATCTATGCGGCATCCCTCTTCTTTCTCAGCGGCCACTGGCAGCCCTATAGACGGACCTTAACACCAAGAGCAGATTTGTTTACAGCCAGTTTGTAATGAACTACCACTACCAGCAGACAAAGGCTGGAAAAGAGTAGAGATGACATCATGTTCTCCGCCTGTGTGCTTTCTAAGTAAAGGTCAGCATGCCATTCGGGTTGTTTACTGCCGTGGCGCTGCCCCGAGTGCTCCAACACCTGGCAACTCTTCTCCTCTAATTAGGATGAGGGGGCCTATAATGAGTACACATGATCTCGGCTCGCGCCACAGCCAGCAGATCAAGCTCTCCGTCCCCTTCACCTGGAGTTAAACTTTCTGAGAAGTTCAAGATGCTGGGGAATGTACCGCATGTGGGAGAGTGTTCGTGCTCTCGCGTTTCAGCAGCGTGTTTTGTCCTGCTTGGTTTCACTAAGGCTAGTGCCTTAATTCATGTGAAAGAAAAAAAAAGGGGGGAGAGAGAGAGAGAGAGAGAGAGAGAGAGAGAGAGAGAGAGAGAGAGAGATCTACTAACACAGATTCAGAGGGTTACTGGCAGAAAATAGGAATTCCACAGCTTATTCGAAAGACAATAGGTTTGATGGGAAATGGCTCAGAATAAAAATGGTGGGAATCAAAATGTATTGATTTCTGCAGCAGTAAAGAGGAAACTATCGCATTTTAAACAAAGCACAGCTTCCACATGCAGTCTCCGGAGAAAAATGATTCATTGAAACTTTCCTGAGGGAAGAATGAATGATGAAAGTGCCAATTCTGATTCATGTTTCCTACGTTCAGGGCATCTGAGGGAATATCAATGCAACAGAGTTTATTAATATTATTATTATTATTATTATTATTATTATTATTATTACAGAAGGATTTCCCTGTGGGATTAATAAAGTGATCTATCTATTTACCCATCTATCTCTCCATCTATCTAAATGCCTAAATTAACCATGAAATCACGTACAATTTGAATAAAGACTTTACCAAAAATTATTCGCACAGGTACCACAGGAGGGCGCTGATCAGACTCATGCAAACGAACAGTATTAAGAAGTCACTGTATTTTGCACTCAGAAGTAGCATATAGGTAATTTATGGAGACAAATGGAGAAAAAAAAATTGTATTTATCACTTGGCACCTAAAAATGGTCTAAAACCTGGAAAATCTCCACCCTGGTGTGGTGGAACATTAATAACACTGTTGCTGCTGTCTCTCATTAAACTGTGAAGTTAGTCTTCTTGTGCTTTGAGAAATTATTTCCACAATAAATGCGAGAAAAACTTGTCTACAGACTTCATACAGTCCTGTTACTGAGCAAATACGTTGTGTCACGTTCATAAGGCTCTGAAACTCAGCTCTTCTCATACGAAGCTGAAGTAACTGCTGCACCATTTAAGGTGGAACGGGAGAATTCAAGCTAAAACGCTGAGGAACAGAAAGACAATCTCAGCCTCGATCCTCATATGAAGATAAAGCGTTTAACTGGTTTCATGAGGAACTACTGCCAAGTTATACAGAGAGATTTTCCGTTGAGGGGAAAAAACGAGCAAAACCAAACGGCTCAAGGCAAATTACTAACTTTCACGCGCGTTTAGGAAGCCAAACCTCTCAAAAAGACTGAACACAAAACCCCAACAGCAAAAAATAAAGTACTCACGTGTTGGTTTGAGAAGCCACAAGCATTTTCTTATCTTCCTTCTCCAGAGAAATCGTTAAACAGTCCAGTTTTATCCTCTCCTGAGCGCCACACTCCTCTCTTCCTCTGCGTAAGACTCACCAAAGAGTCCCAGCTGGAGGTCTGAGCACTCTGGAGTTTGATGCGCGCTCTAGACTCGCGCATGCGCAGAAGACATGCAAACACAAAGTTTTTTTTTAAAAACTAATATTATTATTATTATTATTATTATTATTATTATTATTATTATTATTATTTAAAGAATATATACGAAATAAACAACCAACGTCAGACCAATACATTATCAGACACCATATAAGAATATGTGAACAGTACAGAAGGATGCATATGCACACACACACACACACACACACACACACACACACACACACACACACACACACACACACAGAGGAAGAAAGCCAGTTAATCAAATGTCTTGACAAAGTTTGTATCCGGGTCTTTTTGGGGCATTGTCACTTCAGTATTAAAGGGGCACTCCACCAATTTTTTTACATTTATGCATAATTAAATGGGTAACAAGTCAACAAAACAGTTCAGAGTGTTTTGGTGTGAAACGCTTTGTTCTTGAGAAACTTACTAAGTCAGAATTGTTCACAGTACTGGTGATAGGAACCAGACGTCTTGGGACTTTAATGGTTCTAAAAGCTCCCTCACAGAAAGTAATTACAGGAAATGGTTATGGATACATAGCCTGATGTCCGAGACATTGTTTTACAGTACTTTTGGGATAAAGTTGTGGTCTATCGCTGCTGTCGGAAGAAAACCTTGTATCTCAATTTTTGTCGTTTCTCGGTTTTTGACATAATTTGAAAATGCCTGTTGCTCTTTAGACTGTGTGTAAATTTTATGATGAATGGACCAAAGGAAACGGCCTAAAATGACTTGGAAAAAAGTCTGGTTCCATTGACTTACATTAAAAGTAAAGTAGGTTTTTTCCTTCTCCTGTAAAGTTACTATTTTGGAGATATAACGTTTTCTTCTGACAACAGCGATATGTCAACCACTTTGTTGTAATCCATTCAAGGTGGAGGGATACACGAAAGGGTGCTCTAAGGCAAAACAGTCCTCAAAGAAAACTTATTTTTTCAGATTGACTATTATTTTACCATCCTAGTGACATAAAAACTCAAAATGACACATGTACGTTCACAGTTGGTTTTGGATAGTAAATGAAATGGCTGTATTTGCACTGTAGACATCGGGACCCCTGGTTCCTATCACCACCACTGTAAAGAAATCGGTAAGTCAGTAAGTCTCTCTACAAATGAACCACTTCACATTAAACCAATCTGAATGACTTTGTTTGTATTTTAACCGCTGAATCATACACAAAATTGTAAAAATTGGTGGAGTTCCCCTTTAAAGGGACACGCCAGCCATAATTTAAAAAATAAACCATTACTATATCTGTTGTATACATGCCTATCTGCCTTCTACAGCAGTGCCACTGTGGTAAGCAGTATTTTCCAGTTTAAAGACTTGAATGTGAGAGGAACAGGGGCTTTGGGGGGCAGATCCCTGAGGGTGGGCTGTTTGAAATGTTTTCTTTTTCCCAGATAGCTGGCTAATGCAGAAGGAAGCCAGACAGTTAAAGTTACTGCCAGGAAGTCGAATATCACTGTATTTGTTAGCCTCTACATCAATGGCTACACTAGCAGTCAGGATTTCTTAATTTTTCCCAATAGTTATGATTTGCATGATGCATGCTGGGTATTGTAGTGCAGGAATACTGATAGACAAATATATAAAATATATAGGATATAAAATCGTGGATATAGAGCAAACCAACAAGGTTTTGCATGACAGAATACACAGCATGCCAAAAAAGCATATTAAATGCTAGTTTTAGGCCAGAATATGCCACTTTAATGTAGCTAAAAGTTTCTGTCCTTCTCCTAATCCAGCTCTAACCCTAACTTCAGGAACTGTTTTACTTTTTCTGGTAATGTCTTTAATAAACTATAATGTCTGCCTTTCTTTGTAAAAATAAATGAAAATAGAAGTGCCAACAAAAATGTAGCGATAGGGAAAAGCTAGATGTTCCCACAACGTCAAAATGGTTTTCCAACACACTGTGCACATTTAGGGATGTTTCCATGTTCATGGAAACAGACACACAGGTAGCCCTCAGTCCAGGATGTTACTGATTTGGATGTTATTTAGTGGATCAGAAAAAGGACGTCTACTGTTTTGTGTATGTAAACATGTAGGCTTATGTTCTCTTTGGAAACCTGCCTTTGTAGAAACCTACATGCTTCGTACCTGAGAATATCTCTGTCTATATTTTAAGCTATACTAGTAGAATTTGACTTCATGTTGAAAGAAAAAATTCTCCTTACCTTATGTATTTTACTACAAATTATACACCGATCAGTCATAACATCATGACCACCTCCTTGTTTCTACGCTCATAGCTATGCTATATAGGTGCACTTTGTAGTTCTACAGTTACAGACTGTAGTCCATCTGTTTCTCTGATACTTTGTTAGCCCCCTTTTACCCTGTTCTTCAGTGGTCAGGACCCCCATGGACCCTCACAGAGCAGGTACTATTTGGGTGGTGGATCATTCTCAGCACTGCAGTAACACTGACGTGGTGGTGGTGTTGTGTTAGTGTGTGTTTTGCTGGTACGAGTGGATCAGACACAGCAGTGCTGCTGGAGTATTTAAACACTGTGTCCACTCACTGTCCACTCTATTACCTTGTTGGTCCACCTTGTAGATGTAAGGTCAGAGACAGCAGCTCATGTGTGTCAGCATAGTTTGTGTTGGTCATCCTCTGGACCTTCATCAGTGGTCACAGGACACTGTTGGTTGGATATTTTTGGTTGGTGGACTATTCTCAGTCCAGCAGTGACACTGAGGTGTTTAAAAACTCCAGCAGCACTGCTGTGTCTGATCCACTCAGTGGTCAATCAGTTATATGAACAGTTCAGTTTACTTACAGTGATCAAAAACTACAGGACCTGAAACTGGATTCAAGGTCCAGATCTGAAGACTTCTGGACTAAGTTTAACACTGTCTGTTTTGTATGTGGAGTTGTATGCAGAGGTTTGGGCGCCCTGGTCAAATGTACATATATTGTTGATTTCCTAAGTGAAATTAAGTACACATCCTCTACTGTGAGCACAATTATGCATATTTTAATACACCATTACTGTTTTTTGCTGAACATGCAATTTGACATGTAAGTGGTGTTCATATTTTTGCATCTTGTAATATTTTCCAGTTTAAGTTTAATTCTTGTTACCAAGTATTTGAAAGCTAATTACTAATATGCATGTTGTACAAAATGTAGTCTTTTGTGGTTTGCACAAAACATTTTGTGGCAAAGTTAATTTCCTTATAGTTTACAAGGAAAACAATAAAGTTAAAGAACTCAAAAGATAAAAAAGAGAAAAATATCGATATGAGGATATTAGGATTAATGATACGACCCCTTTTTTAAGGGTGTGGGTTAAATGAGTTAAAAGTTAAATTCTTAATTTTTCTTTTTTATAAGTTTTTCATAAAAAAGAAAAATTAAGAATTTGATTTTTTGGCATTTTTTAAGCCATAATCCTCATATCGATATTTTTCTCTTTTTTATCTTTTGAGTTCTTTAACTTTATTGTTTTCCTTGTAAACTATAAGGAAATTAACTTTGCCACAAAATGTTTTGTGCAAACCACAAAAGACTACATTTTGTACAACATGCATATTAGTAATTAGCTTTCAAATACTTGGTAACAAGAATTAAACTTAAACTGGAAAATATTAGATGCAAAAGTATGAACACCACTTACATGTCAAATTGCATGTTCAGCAAAAAAACAGTAATGGTGTATTAAAATATGCATAAGTGTGCTCACAGTAGAGGATGTGTACTTAATTTCACTTAGGAAATCAACAATATATGTACATTTGACCAGGGCGCCCAAACCTCTGCATACAACTCTACATACAAAACAGACAGTGTTAAACTTAGTCCAGAAGTCTTCAGATCTGGACCTTGAATCCAGTTTCAGGTCCTGTAGTTTTTAATCACTGAAAGTAAACTGAACTGTTAATGTCACTGATTGACCACCTAGTGTTGTACCTACTGAGAATGACAAAATCCAGGACCAGAGGTCTGAATTTGAAGACCTCTGTTGTCGTCATCCTCATTTTTCAGGCTGGGTTTTGTTGAGGTTATCATGTTTCATGAGAATAACCCAAGTGCACATAAGACAACCTGGAAAGGCCAATCATGTCTTTATGCATCCCTAAACAGCTGCACCATTTAGGTCTTCATGACTTCTTCAAAGTGTGTCACTCACGAAACTTTAATGTTGCTGTGTTTGACACAAATTGATCTCCATGTCCTGATGTGACCTGATAGTTTATCACTCTTGCTATCACTGCAAGCTGTGTTAGCTTAGAATGGCTCTCGTAAGACAGAACAGGCTGGACTTTGTCCACAGAGATACCATGATGAGAAGATCATTGGCCTTCATTCATTAGGTTCGGAGTCTCCTTGTCAGCTTTATCAACGTAAACCTGGCCACAGCAATTTTCGCATCTGGTGCTGAAGGCCTTGATCTGTGCTGTGATGAGAGTCAGGTGAGTATCAAACATGTCTGATCCTGGGAAACCCAGTGAGGAGCGTTCAAGCTCCAGATTTTCCATGAGAAAGAAGAAGCCTAGGAAAGCCAAGATCCCTGAAGTCAAGCTCTGTGCAGACAAGCCATGCTATCATGTGACAGTGCAAGTGTTGAGTCATGACACAGTCCATTCATTGGAGGCAGTGGAGGTGCCACTACGCCACGCTAGCTTCACTCTGAGGTCAACCTGCTCACGCACGTTGCTGAAAAGTCTCTGTCAACAGAGCAAGGTTATGCCCCTATAGCTTTCAGTCCCATGGCTCTCTTCCGTGAGGGATATTAGCGACACGCAGTGCCAGAACAAATTTGTATCAGGAAATGTTGCTTTATGCTAAGCGTCTCTCTCTGCCTGCTGCACTGAGAATGCAAGGAAATGCCAGAGTCTGGAGAAAGTCTTCAGTATGGCCTGACCTGCAGCCACAGGGCCACAGCAGTTTGAGCAAATCT